TGGTCTCCTTTATGATCTTCAGATTTTTTTTCAGTATGACATGGTTAATCAAAGCTAGCTATACAGAAATGTATTTCTGTGGCACTGCATAATAAAGGAATAATTCGTCAACTAATGTCCAAAAGCTGTCGTAATGTAGTATGTTCATCGTATTGCATCCTCTATGAAAGGTGTATGATTTTCAGATTAGAGACACGACCTTATTCAGAACGTAAAAACGAATTCAAAAATATTCCTTTACAACATGTGGCATTGTAACAGATGCTGAGTGCAGCTAGTTAAGGACAAAATAATCTTAAATTATTATAAGAGAAACAAAATGATACGCTGGCCTTACAAACTAATCAAAGCACGGAATCTAAAACACTACTTTACCTATGTCATACCTTGATAAGTATCTACTACATTGCCTATGAGATAATAAAGCCATTTACAAACAAATTTGTTTATGGACACTCTCACGTCAATGAGTATGCAAAAACATTTATAGGTTTTAATAGTTATCAAGCAAGTAAAAAATAACATATTTTGGGTAAGTAGATAATATACCGTCATAAAATAACTCCCATATCCCATTGATTCCAACGGAAAATTGTTTCTTCGTAACTTAAGTATTTTTAAAGTTATATTAAAAATTTTAAACATCCAGGTAATGGTTTTGTCCGATCATGACCGATCCATTAATTTCATGCAGGACCAGTCTCTTTAATATAAACATGTAGATAAATGTTAAATGTCAAAGAAATTAGTATTAAATATTATAATAAGTAGTGATGTAGACTATCAAGAGAGATTACTAATATACTCATGATACCTATAATAATTTTGCTACAAAAATAACTCAGTCACTCACTCTGGCTTGGCGCATAACGTGGACTAGTACATCCCATGATTTAATATTAACCTTATTCTATCTCGTTATCCATTACGTCTAGAGTGCTGGTTTCTTTTAAAATCAAGGAATGATATGTTACAGAAGTCTTTCCACATACCAGAACAATATATACACTGTGTATACCTTTTTAATCTATATTTGTAAGCTGTGTCTTTCTAAATTGACCTTGTAAAAACTGGTTATAATTCAACATAATAAAATAACGGAACCTAAATCATGCTTTATCCGGGATCTCTCGTCTTATTCTGAGAGGCAGTGTTAATTTTTTTTTATCAACCACAGCTTTCAATATTTGCTTGTTTCTAATTCTGAGAAATATCTATTGTAGTAACTAATTATTATTAAAGAATTTTTCGCTTGTATTCTTTTATGATTTTTTACCACAGATCTCCGTATGTATTAACCGACTTGATGTTTTTGTTTTAATTTCCGACTCTGGCAAATTCGGCGAATTATTAAAAGGAGATCGGTCTTGGAAGATCGATTTTTAAATCAAAATAACTGCAAAATGATGACATTCAGTAGTGATTAGGGCACTACAATAAAATAATCGTTCTAAAACAATGCGTAACAAAAGAGAAATTGGATTTTTGTGATGTTAAATGAATTACATAATTTTCTCCTATTGTGATACATAATTCTTCGTGTCAGTACTTAGTAACTAGTTTAGCGAATCGGTCTGAGTCATATAATCTTTTAATAGCAATATTTTTGTTTAAATTGGCTGCACTTTTTCCAATGAAAGCTACATATCTGCTATTAAAATTTCAATTGCAGATATTTTTCAAAGAAAATTAAATTTAAAAGAAAATTTTGTGTGGGCAGATGTTTGCAATAAATTTCATTCGTTCAAGATGTCGTCTTTTCAACTAGAGCGACTAGTCGCCAAATTTATCAGAAGTTTACCGCTACTTTCATTTGTAACTAGCTATATCTCGGGGCTATGTCCAGTTACAATATAGCCTATATTAGTAATCTATATATTAATATATAGTAATGCAAAAACTTTGTATATAAGTTTAATATAAATGTGTCGTGACCTCTGTGTGCTGTTTAGATAGCCGACAGTAGCCACCTTCTATCTAGTAGAACTAATATTACCAATAAAAGTACATAACAATTAAATAAAAACACAGCTATTATAGGGAACCTTTTTAAAAAAACAACTAAAGCTATTACACCAAATAGAGAGGTTACTTTACAACAACCATTGTCATATAAATTTAATGCCCAAGTGACCGCAATTACGCAGTAGTAGCTAAACTCCAAGCTCATATACTTCGCTCCGAATTTATGAAGCGTTCAAATTAAATGGACTGCCGTATTTACATTTGGTAAAGAGTAAACATTAATGTAATTGTTTAACGTTGGGGGAGGGATTATTAGTGATGGAAACTGACGGTTCTATCGCCCCCTGGAAACCATCGTGATCAATTCCTGGTGAATTTGTCACGATAGGCTAACTGACCTGACCTCATGCTCATCCTATCATCCTTCACTGGTGCCCCGTCAGCGTAAACCGTTAGTGTAAGCGGAATGACCATTCCATTATCATTCATAAAAAAAACGATGTACCACATCAATTCCCTGAAAACCATCATGGTTAAGTCATGGTGAATTAATCAGAATTGCAAATGAGCAAACTCACCTGACTTCTTGTTCATCTTATCATCCTCCACTGGTGCCCCACCAGCATATACCGTTAGCGAAGTTGAGTACGAAACTCCATTATCACGTATCAAAAATATATTATTAACGTTGCCGTAAAACTAACATTTTATAGATTTACAAGGAGCTAGCTAAATTAAACAAAATTGTTTAAAAAATGACATTTTAATACTGTTAAAATTCAACAATATAAACATAAGAAATAGAAACTATACACAGAAAGAAATAAACATTAACAAATTATATTACAAATATTACAACTATTGGATAAATAAAGGCCAGCGCTCACTGATCCGAATATCAAGCAATAGGAACCAATTACATATTAACGTAAACCTAGCACGACAAGAAATAATTAACAATCTATTAAGACTGTACATTTTTATTATAAAATTTATTGCAAAACAAATCATCCAGAGGAATAAATAAATAATTTAAGAGCGCTACTATCCATCTTAGCATTTATATACTGCTATCTATAATTTTACTAATAAATTAAATAACAATAGTATATGTCTTGTTATTAGACAAACAAATACTTAAATAAAAAGTTTTAGTCTCGTCACGATTTAATTGTTAATAATAAAAAATTACATTTAGTTATTATTTAAAAGAACTTGGTACCATGCGAGCATAGAGATAGCGATTTATAAGAAAAATACGGACCACCACGTCCAAATTATCGTACTGAAATTGCCGTTGTCATATCAATGAACGCTGGTCCTAAAAAGTTGTACAATCTAAAGGTAAAAGTATAATAAATGCTTTCTTATTAAGTACAAAAGTATTGTGTAGATTTGTATGCAATTTTATTGTAAATTCAAACCGTGAAAGCTTTCCTTAGCTGAAGCATAATGAAAATGTGCGTCGTACAGGGTCAGTCATAAAAGATATACAAAATCAAAAACTAGTGATAGTACATGAAAGTTAATAATTTCTTCCAAAACAGTAAACAGGAAAACTGTGAAAAACTTTTTAAATCTTCGTACAACCTCACGTAGGTTAGGTCATGTCATCGAATTAGCTTTAAAACACAACCTTTTTGTTTTTTATCTCTGTTTTTATGGTAAAAGTGCTTCAGTTTCATGAGTATGCCTAGTTTTTGGGTTGGTTATTCTTTTTAAGTCTAACCCTGTATAGTTCAGAAGTACTAACTAAAAGTAGTTTTAGGTCATCCAACATCTACACCTTTTGTCAATTTTCAAAAATAAATAGGCAAATCAAAATTAGTAGCAATCTAGAATCACAAGGGATAATGTTTTATGCCTTTCAGGACGATATTTTTGATATTATATTTTTAAGTTTTATATTAAATAAAATTTTCAGCGCCTTTTAAGTAATGGTTTTAAAACATTCTAATATAATTTGTTTTTGAAAATTGACAGATAATGCAAGACTTATTACGGTGTGAACGATTCCTCTTATTTCTTTACTACTATCATGTTAAATAACATTTTGTTCACCAGATTTTTACCAATGCCTATCTATATGGATACATCTGTCATAGCTATACCTACTTTGCCGTTAAGCAAGAATATTTGCATGATATATTCCATCTTGAAGATAAGACATAGCTTAGAAATTATACGGAACTATGTTATAACCCAAGATCGTTATACCTCAAGACTTGCCTCAAGTCCGCTTACCATCAGGTAGACCATAAGTTTCTATACTTCCTTTTAAATATAAAATTCGGAATCGATCACACCATTTTCTCAATTGTCTAATCTACTGTTTTTTTTTATTAGAAGATTTTAGAGAGCGGCAATTGAGATCAAGACAACCGTTGAATAATTCCTACTTTTTTCTATATAACCTTCAAATGTACTTCTTAAAAAATTCATAATCAAAATATTTCATAAATACTAATATGTAAGTATGTCAAATATACAGACGGTCTTATAAGTCAATAGACATTATTCTACATAAGTGAGTCTTATATCAATATGGCATAATATATAACAATGAATAAGTAAAGAATATGTAGAATAGAGAAGATTCTTATGTGATAAAAACAGTATGAACTATTCACACTTAATTTTAAGACTAAAAGAGATCTACAGAATCATACCTATAAACACAATGCAGTCAATCAAATTTCTACAGCATCAGGGAATATATGGTCCAAATACGACTGGTGGTAATTCTGCAATGGTTTTGGTCTCATTTTTTTAATATTCACAGACTTGTCTGCCTCGGAACTATGTCTGTTAAATTTTGATGCAATTTCTCTAACTTTTCCAGGCCGTGGTCTGAAATCATCATTATGTATTTTCACGTTACTCCTATCTTTAAACTCTTCGAATGACCTTTCCGCTTCTTCTTGTGGCGTTAGACTCTTATTGATTTTATCATCGTCATATCTCGAACGAGTTGAAGATCTTTTGGCATCGTTTCTAAAACCATTGCACTCCTTATCTTGATTCCCTTTGCTATATTTATCTTTTTTACCAGAATTATTCCTTTCATACATACGCGAATAGTTTTTTGAACTTCTGTTTTCGTTGTTTCTAAAATTTTGCTTAATATCAATGGTATCTTTTATATTATTTCCTCTGGCGATACCAAAGAAAGGATCTTTGGAGTATTCTATATCATTATTTGACTTACAAACATAACTTTGTTCAAATGGATTGACCTTTGATTCCTTATTTCTATTTGATCTCCTAGCTTTTGGTGGGCCAGCCTTAAATGTTGAGAATCGGTTTTCGTTATAATCATTATTATTAATTTCATTGCTTGCTGCTATTTTCTGCGGGTCAAAAGCATGCGTTCTTTGGTGTGTTAGGGGCTTAGACAGCGACAAATACTTAGGCGGTTCCCCATTCTTATTTATTGTTATTTCATATTGAATATGCGGGTCTAGGACCGCATAGACATTCTCTTTGGCTTCTCTTTCCAGCGACGACAGTGCTGCCTAAAAAAATATTAAAAATTATTCTCTTTGAAACAAACATAAATTATTATAGTTTCAGGTAGTATGGGCAGGTACTAGTGTATGGTGCACTGGCAAAAGTTATTTATATGTTAATCCCTTAACCGCTCAAACTGAACAACGTGCAAAAACACTCAAATTAATTAAAAGTCGTTTAGCATTATATCATGTAGATAGTTGGTACCTTGAAAGTAGATTTCTCTGTGAATATCAACGTGATTAATTGGTTGACGCAATATTGTGTGAAATGTTAAATTTAATAATGTTACGAGTTCAATGAGACGAAAATGTAATGACTTTGTTCTTGTTTGTTTGTGTATATTTTTTTCCATTATTTATACGAAATTTCTTAACTCACTATTACTCTATTAACCTAGTATTTATTGATCACTATTGATATTTATTTCTATTGAACCTAAGCAATTTTGGGCTAATGGTGTCACCATTTAGTTAACAAACTTCGAGATCATCTCATAAATTGATTAATTTAATGACTATACTTATAATTCATACTATAGTAACTTAATTATTTAATACATTTAGATGGTTATTGTCCGTTAGTTTTTGTTTTAACTGAAATTGTAAAGCATAACAATATTGTTAATAACTTATCCAGTCTACTGATATCCGCTGACAATTACATATTCAGAATATCTGGGTTGTCTCATTCCCATACAAACACTACACGAAGTGATTTCACAAAGCAAAGCAAGTTTGTTAATATGTCTTCAATTAACATTAGCAGGGAGTGTAACAACATTAGGGGGCATGTTTCCGAGGAACGACTTAGGGAGCGGCTGAAGGCCAACTTTTGCCTGACGGATAAGACTTTAGTCTGAGGGAAATGTTAGAATTTCGAAATTCGCCTTAGACCATCTAATTTCAATCCCCGTTTCAATAGGACGGGGATCTATCGGAGATTTGCACCAAGAAATCTTGGTATAACGTATAGTAGAGGGGTGGTAGTTAGTGAGTGATTGTTAGTGGTGGTGGCGACCTGTGCATCACACGGTGGTGGGAGGCTGCAGCACGACGGCCGCGCGCCGCACCTGCAGCGCGGCGGGCGAGTAGCGCGCGGGGGGCGCGGGGGGCGCGTGGGTCGCGTGGGTCGCGTGGGTCGCGTGGGCCCCGGGGGGCGCCACGTGCGCGGGGGTCGCCGGCATGCCGCTCGTGCGCGGCGCGTACACCGCATCCGCCGGAAGTACGCTTTTCTCGCTGGATACAAAATAGAACTTTACTATATCTAGTATATTTATGTCTACCCCAACCAAAAATCCTTGTCCTGAATTGAAAACAATGGTCACGATTGTTCTTTCCATTCCTGTCTCTAATGCTTCATAGGAGCGCATATTCAGCACCATGGAGCAAATAAAGAAACCGAATGAATATTTCTTTAATAAAAGCAGAGTTACAAGTACTAACAAACTTCATTTTATCGATTTTCGATGTAAAAACCATTATGAATTAGTGGTGAAAAATCGAAAATTATTGAGATGCTGCTCGAAAACACAATAAATACAAATTTAAAATTTAATTAATGTTTTTCCTTTAATAAACACTTAAATCACTTAATTTGCTTTGATAAATTTCTTAAACATAAAAAAAATTACCGGGTTGGTCCTATCGAGAGTTGGCAAACATGGCTTGGATAATAGAGTTTTCATATAAATGATGGTAAGTTGGTATTACCCACACTAAGTGTAGACTATAGATTCGGATACTTTTAGGCCATCAGGATTTTCCTTTTAAACTGCGATGGTGGCAATATATTATACAATATATATTTAGGTTTCTTGATAAACGGCATGCTGTAGTCACTAGAGAAAACCTCGGCAGGTAGTTCTTTACACAGTCTAAGTGTACGTGGTGACGTGATGACATCAGTTTCACTATAACGGTAACCTTATGTGACTCTAACCATTACTTAGCACTATCATTCAGGTATGAAACACTTTCGATATTTTCTACGGCAATAAATAAGCTGTTGTTTTATAATCTGTAGCAATATAAAGGTAATACAAAAAATTTACTTACTTATCTAAATCATCAGTCTTGTATTCAACGCTCTCTGCAAAAAAAAAATAATTAAACGTTACTTACATATTTTATTGACTATGTCTACCTAGACACGCGGGAGCGTGGCGAAGCCAAGTTCAAGTAACAGAACTGTCGAGCAGCACCGTGTGTAGTAGATATACTACACTATGGTATATTCTTCTTCTGTAGGTGTCATGTCCTATCGGAGGTTGGCTCATTATGGCGATCTTTATTTTGTTCACGGCGGTCTTGAAAAAGGGATCTGGTGCTCATTCTAAACCACTGCCTGGGGTTTTCAACCACAGGCAGGCATCTGCCTGATCTTCACATTTGTGGCTCATTATTATTATTAGATATGGTATATAATTCTGTGTGGGGGAAGGAAATTGTTAGTAATGGGGTCTAGTGACCCCATTGCTAGCAATATACCACCATATAGTCAACCTCTGTGCGATTCCCTCTATAAACCATCGTGGTTTTTTTTATTGATGATCATGGAATGGTGCACTAAAGGTTGCGCCTGCGCTAAAGGTTTACGCTGGCGGGGCACTAATGAAAAACGAACACGAGGTTAGATTAGCCCTAAGAAGAACAAGACAAAATCACCAGGAATTTATCACGATGGGGTTTAGGAAGAACCGCGTGGAGGTCAACTTGACATGGTACATTGCTAGCATTACCAATAATCGATCCCCCGACCAACATCGTTAATTCCTGGTTATTTAATCACGATGGGCGAACTGACCTGACGTCATGCTCATCTTATCATCCTAGCTAGCCATATAGCTAGCGCCCAGCTTGCGTAAACCTTGAGTGCAAGCGGGTACATCATTCCATTATCATCCATGAAACAAATAATGCGTGCGTACCTCTCCGTCGGCGGCAGCGCAGCACGAGACAGAGCACCAGCACCAGCAGCGCGGCGATCACCAGCGCGGCCGCGATCAGCGGCGCCACGTGGGCCGTCTCTGTTCCAACAGTTGCTGTTCAGTCACGCACAGAAAAAATGCACCAAGTTGTGATACGATACATTTCAATATTTACTTAAAAGATTTATTATTACTAGTGACGGATAATAATTAGTTTAATTTATAAGTTTGAACTTTCTTACTTCTTACTAAAGTTTGTCTATAACAGGCACCTACTGGTCGCACAGATAATAATCAAAAGAGTATATTTGTGTGTGTTAAATACATGGTTGTATGTGTATGTTATTTTTAATGATATAATTTAAAAAATATAAGCATTCTGCACTCCTTCTCTAAAAATATAAATGCGTTAAATTTTATAGTCCTCCGTTATCGCAATTTTCAATTCGTTCGCAGTGCGACCCTCAACATTAGAATAGTTCGATAAAAAAATAGACGACCGTTGCCACTTACCATCAGGTGGGCTGTCAATTTGCATGGTATTAGTTGTGCCCAAGGTTTCGCTAATTGTAAAGTTTTACTAAAATCCATTAAGTCGTTTTTTTGACAGAGTAACAAACATCCATCCATCTACGCTCACAAACTTCCACGTTTATATTAAGAAGATTCGTAGTACTTAAAAATCCATACCGTGCACTATGAGCGAGACCGCGTGGGAAGAGAACCCGCGCTCGTTCTCCACGTGCAGCACGTAGAGGCGCGCGTCCGCGTCGCCCACGCCGGTGACCAGCAGCGCGTACCGGTAGCAGCCGCCAGCGCCGGCGGCCGTCGGCTCCAGCGCACGGAATCGACCTGGTCACCACACACCACCACATCAATAACTACTGGTCGCCCGGTCGTCGAGCATCGACCATCATTTACTTAAGTTTGGACATTATTAAGGTTTTATTGTCAAAGACTACTTCTATAAATACAGGTACCGGTCGTACAGGATTAGAATAGAATAGAAAAACCTTTATTCAAATAAACTTAATTCAAGCACTTTTGAATTATCGTCACAATTTTTTTAATCTTCCGCTCATTGGGAAAGCTGTCTCATCACAAGAAGAATGAAAAAGAAACTTGTGTGTTGCTCTTTTAAATAATCATTGTAAGTTTATATTTTTTACTCGAAACGTGTGAATACGGGCAACAAAGAAAAGAGTAGACAGTAGTAGTAAAAAGTTTACACACAGACGCATATTGCGCGTGTATCCAATATATAGTGTGTGTAGTGATATTTTATATATTTATTCTTTTACACACAAAAATGTATACATGGCGGACTTAATGCCTGATGGCATTCTCTACCAGTCAACCGTCGCGTTGATCAGAGATAATAATTTTAATGGTTTAAAGTGTTTTTTACGTATGATTAAAAAAAATGTAGCCTCCTATTCCTTATCAACTATAAATTATTTCCCCTGAGCCAAAAGCATTAATAAAAAACTCCGCAACATCAAATAAAGAAATCGAGTCACTGGATACATTATAAGTTCATGATAGTCCGGTAAGGTACCTATCTGCGAGGGCACGTCTAGCCGCAGACTGCCCCACAGCCACACAGCCTTCCTGGGCGGGGGGTCGGCGCACACGGCGGCGTGCAGGCGCGCCTCGCCGCCGGTCCACGCGTGGGCGGTGCCCGAGCCCAGCTCCGCGCCCACCGGCGGGCCCAGCACGTTCAGCGTTACGGGCTCCGACTGATGCGTCCTGAAATATATTTTATTCTCTAATCACAATAGCAAACAGACCGTGGCGTAGTGGTTTCCTACCCTGAATTATTCCCAAGAGATCGTGAGTTCGAATCTAACCGATACAAATAAAATCTTCGTGTCTAAACTTATATTTTCAACTAACTCCTGTTAAGAAAACGTAAACTATTATATACTAAAAATTCATCTGTTAACCGTTGGTTGTCTAATATTAGACTCAAAATACATGACGGCCAGTTCTGTCGGTTTCGTGTCCCGCTTTACTTGACCGATTCCGGAGTATAAAAACTCATACCTTTAATTTTGCTGTCTTATCTTACCTTACAACCGAAACTTATTTCTTCCTTCTAAACGGAGATTGAAATTATGACGGCCTGAGCCCAGGTTAAAACTCCTAGGGACTCTCAAACTAAAGTCGTATCCGTCAAACAGAAGTTGACCTGTTCCGCTCCATAAGTCCTTCCGCGGGATTGGAGTGACCTGCATTCACCCGCTATCGTGCGATAAGGCACTAAAGCCTTGCTGCGCCCAAGAGCTTTAGAATAGTTCGAAAAGAAAACATGTTACAATGCTTATCGGGTAAAACAAAAGTACTGGAGCGGCTGACGGCCAAGATGGCAGATGGCACTCTAGATCCGCGGAAGGACTTATCCTTCCGCGGGTCATCGGCGGGTCAAGAGTGCCATCTGCCATCTGCACTCCCCCCTATCGTCCGGTGAAGCTGTAAATGCCAGTTGCGGCTAACAGCATTACAGTAGTCCGAAAAATAAAATCTCACCTCTCTTCTGTACCGATATGGTTGGTAGCGACGCAGGTGTAGCGTCCATGTTGAGAGTAGGATACGTTCTGCAGCTGCAATTGTGGCGTTGATGATAGTGGGTACCCGTCTGCTGCCGCCGCCAACTGCGCAGGAGAACCTGCAGGGCTGGAAAGAAACGATACTACTCAGTAAAATTTACTTAATTGTAATTATCTTTATTAATATTTTTTCTCTATTAATTATTAGGCTTATTAAAACTCGTAAGGAGTCGATTATAGTCTATATATATATATGTATATCTCTTGCTGTGCATACTCTACTTGATCTTAACTATAATTACATGAACGAATCTACATACATATGTATGAAAACAAATTTTTGTCATACTATGATACTCCAAGTAAAATCTGTCAAATAATTGTTACTTAATAAGTAAATAATTGTTTTTTATAATATAATAACTATTAATAAAAATATCTTCTTAACGACAGCGATAATGGAATAAGTTCCAACGTTTTCATCCAAATTTTATTTCGTTTGACAGAGTTGTTAAGACAGGAAGAGGTAATAAATAATAAACTTTTTGTAATAAAAAAGATTCTTTCTCTTTTATGATTACTGTTTAGTATTAACGTGTTCATGATATGCTATAGGTATCTGAAATTATTACACGTTTTAACATTTGTAATGATTATTTCTTATGCCAATAAAAATGTCAAGCAAACTGATCCATGAAAAGTGGTGACCGCTGCCCACTGCCTGTTACCTCCAACAAAATCAAAGTAACACGAAATGATATACAATCCAGGGGAAGGAGATTTTAGAAATCTCGATTAATAACTATTGCTAACAATGTATGTAAGTAGTGTCACGTTGACTTCCTCGCGGTTTCTCCTGGAAACCATCATGTTAAATTCCCGGCAAATTTGCCACGATGGGCTAACTGACCTAACCTCATACTCATCTTATCATCCTACACTGCTGCCCCGCCAGCGTATACTGTTAAAGCAGGTGTTGAGGGTGTTCGTGTTTTAGTTCTTATTTAAGTACCTACATATTATTAATAAAGCAGTTGTTATCCAGATCTCGTAGTTTCTATACACAACATGGTGACAGCGGTTTAAAAAATCAATTAAACTAATAATATTACGAATTGACTGTTTAGTTTAGTAATATTTCAGTAGTTAAAAGTGCTATTGATAACTATATATTATGGAACACGCGCGACCACCGTCGGAACTACGTCTGGAGGGCAGCTCCGTCAGCCGGGCTGACGCGTGGAAGAAATGGAAAATACAATTTAATTTGTTTTTGAAAGCATCGGGGGTGCATAAAGAGGAGGAATGTGTGCAGGCGAGCCTATTAATAAATTTGGTTGGACCCGAAGGTTTCGATGTTTACGAAACTTTTACTTTTAAAAGCGAAAAAGAAAAAGACGACGTCGCCATTTTGTTGAAAAAATTTGATGAGTATTTTGGAGTGAAACAGAATATAACTTTGGCAAGGTATAATTTTTTTATGCGAAACCAAGAGATCGGCGAGTCGATAAATCAATATGTGACAGCATTGAAATTGTTGAGTAAAAATTGTGACTTCAAAATATTAGAAGAGGAGCTCATTCGCGATCGCATAGTTTGCGGCATAAAAAACACGACGGTACGTGATCGTCTATTGAGAACCGAGGACTTGACATTAGAGAGAACAATAAACATATGCCAAGTGGATGAAATATCGAATGACAGCAGTCGCCTGTTGGAGTCTCGCGGCGGCGGCTCCGGGACGTTGCAAGTGGACGCGTTACGGCAGCGCGGCGGCGGCGCGTGGCGAGCGCGCGGCCCGCGCGGCGGCGGGCGGTCCGGCGGCGGGCGCCGGCCGGCGCTGCCGGTGCGGCTGAGCTCTGGCAGCGCGCCGTGTCTTAGGTGCGGAGGACGCTGTGCGGAACCGGGCTCGTGTCCCGCTACTACGGTTCAGTGTTATGTTTGTGAAAATTACGGTCATTTTGCTAGAATGTGCAAGTTAAAAAAAAGTGTTAAAAAAATGCACGAGATCGGTGTGGACGACGAGAAGTCTACGGACAGCGACTGTGAGCCATTTTTTGTTTCTTCTGTTTATAATATTAATGAAATTAACTCGTCTCACAACTGGTTCGAGATACTTCGAGGCGAGCATGGTTTTGAGAAGTTTAAATTGGATACGGGAGCAGATATAAATGTCTTATCCCTTAAACGTTATCTGTCACTAGGTTATGATATAAACAGTATTTGTACGGATTCAAATATTATACTCCAAGCATATGGAGGTAATTCGATTCCTATAAGGGGAACTTCAATTTTACAGTGGTGGTATAAGAATGTTCTCTATGAATTAAAATTCGCTATCGCTGATATCGATTGTCAAAGTGTGCTAGGATATGAATCGTGTGAAACCTTGGGGTTGATAAAGAGGATTCACAGCGTTACAATGTCTAATAATGAGGATTTATTCACTGGTTTAGGTTGTTTACCAGGAGAGTACCACATTGTCGTGGACAAATCAGTGGCGCCAGTGGTTTGTTCTACTCGCAAGGTCCCATTAGGATTGCGCGATAAGTTAGAGGAAGAACTAAATAGGATGATACATTTGGGTGTTATCAGGAAGGTAACACAGCCTACACCATGGGTGAACTCTTTAGTTATAGTAGCTAAAAAAAATGGTCAATTGCGTATATGTCTGGATCCGAGACCACTTAATAAAGCTATACAACGTTCACATTTTCAGTTACCAACAATACATGAATTGGCTACTAAATTGCACGGAGCTAGGTATTTCTCGGTTTTAGATGCTAATTCTGGATTTTGGTCTATCAAACTAGATAGTGAAAGTGCCGATTTGTGTACGTTCAGTACGCCGTTCGGGCGATATCAGTATTTGAGATTACCGTTTGGGTTAAATTGTGCGCCAGAAATATTTCACGCGAAAATAAAACAATTACTTGAAGGCTTAGAGGGGGTAGATTCATTTATTGACGATATAATTTGTTGGGGTAGAAATAAAGATGAACATGATAAACGATTAAAAGCGTTGTTTAGCAGGGCTCGCAAAATTAATTTAAAATTTAATAAAGAAAAATGTCGAATAGGCTTAAAAGAGGTAACTTATCTAGGTCATCTGTTTAATCAAGATGGAATGAAAACAGACCCAGAAAAAGTTAGAGCCATAATTAACATGTCTGAACCAACGGATAGAAAAAGCTTGGAACGATTTTTGGGGGCGGTGAACTATTTATCTAAATTTATACCTAATTATTCCGATCACGTTGTGCCATTGACTAGATTGTTGCGAAAAGACGTATTATGGACGTGGGAAATGAGTCATAAAAAAGTGTTTAGCAGGCTAAAACAATTGTTAAGTAACGCTCCCGTGTTAGCACTATACGACACTAACAGTACGGTAGTGATGTCTGTGGACGCGAGTAGCGTGGCCCTGGGCGCCGTTCTCATGCAGGGCGGCCGGCCGGTGGAGTACGCCTCGCGCACACTCACCGACACACAGGTTAGGTATGCACAAATTGAAAAGGAGTTACTGGCTATTGTTTTCGCATGTGAGAAATTTCACCAATATATTTATGGAAAACCACATATAGTCATTGAATCTGATCATAAACCTCTTGAGAGTATTTTTAAAAAGCCCCTGGATTCCATCCCAGCACGCTTGCAGCGTATGATGTTAAAATTACAGGGATATGATTTAATAGTTATCTATAAACCGGGAAAATATATGTATTTACCAGATACATTATCACGTGCGCCTCTTCCAGATTTGTATTCTGATAAAATTAGTGATTCAATATTATGTCAAGTTAAAATGATAATTAGTAATGTACCGATATCCCAAAATAAGTTTACTCTAATAAAACGCGAGACGAGTAAAGATAACATTTTAAAATTCTTAATTTCGTATATAAATCAAGGCTGGCCGGTTTATAAGGGTAATATAATAAATGAGTTGAAGTATTATTGGTCTATAAGAGACGAATTGTATTGCATAGATGGTGTTATATTTAAAAACAAACAAGTCTTAATTCCATGTTCGTTAAAAAATGAAATGTTAAAGCTTGTACACGAAGGACATTTGGGGATTGAGAGATGTAAAAGACGCGCACGTGAAGTACTATTTTGGCCAGGTATTACAAAAGATGTAGAAAGTTACGTTCGAAAATGTAAAGTTTGTCAGGAGAATTCAAACAAACCGTCGAAAGAACCATTGACTCCAATTACTGTTCCAAATTTGCCATGGAATAAAATCGGTACGGATATATTTGAGCACCGAAAAAAGTGTTATTTGGTCTTAGTGGATTATTTTTCAGGTTTCATAGAAGTTACACATTTAAAAGATTTGTCTTCGGTTTCAGTAATAGATTGCATGAAAGAAAATTTTGCTCGGTACGGCATTCCGGAAACGGTAATAAGTGACAATGGTCCACAGTTTTCGTGTCGTAACTTTAAACGATTTGCATCAGAATGGGGATTCAGTCATGTGACTTCATCACCTTATTACCCACAGGCTAATGGCAAGAGCGAAAGAGCCGTACAAACTCTTAAAAAAATGTTAACAAAAACAATAGACAGTAATGGCGACTTTTATTTAAATTTATTGAGTTACAGAAATACTCCCCGCGATAATAATTTGAATTCTTCTGCTCAACTGTTAATGGGTCGACGATTAAATTGTCGATTACCGGTTCATCCTGATTTATTAAAAGTGAATAACGATGTGGACCATAAAATAATTGTAAATAAACAAAAGAAAACCAAGCTATATTATGATCAACGATGTAAACAACTGCCTGAATTGAATGTCGGCGATGACGTCATTATGATAGAAAACAACGATAGGATCCGAGGTACGGTTATAGCACGGGCTAGGACACCGCGGTCTTATATTATAAAAAATAAAAAAGGTATTTACCGCCGCAATCGCCGACACTTAATTCAAAGTATGCCCAATAATAAATATGAGGAAACTATAGGGGAGGAATGTCCGTATCTATCGGCTAATGATGATGATGGTGATGAATTATATGTTCCCAATTGCAAAATTAGAGAGAGCGTTTACAAATCTTATTCACCGCCACGTACCCGCAGGCAGTTACCAAAATAATATTGCAGTTGTTAGTTTATTTTTATTTTATTTTTTGTATTTATCTAATGTTAACATAAATAATATGTAGTAATTGATTGTTATATCTATACTTGGTAAATTGTCTACTAACTAAATTAATAGTAATTCATTTTATTATTAGTATTGTAATTCATAGTTTGTATTATATACTTTAGTAATAGTATATTTTGCTTTTAAAAGGGAAAGATGTTGAGGGTGTTCGTGTTTTAGTTCTTATTTAAGTACCTACATATTATTAATAAAGCAGTTGTTATCCAGATCTCGTAGTTTCTATACACAACAGCAGGCAATAGTATCATTCCATTATAATTCCTTCAAAAACATAATAAATTTATGATGCTAATGATAATGTGCAACTTACTTGTGATACCACTGGTAACTTGGAGATGGGTTTCCCTCAGCTTTACACTCCAATGTGATTTGGGAGAACAAATTCGCTTCCACCACTGTATCTGGTCCCACCCACGTCACTCGTGGTGGATCTATAATTAAACCATAAGTAGATCCATAAATGAAGTAGTGTAAACTGTAATTTCATCTGATTTTGTTGAGCCATATGAAGTCCTTCCTCGTAATGCGACAATAATAATAACAGGACAGGACAATTCAGATTCAAATGTACTAGAAATCAAACCCGACCACCTAGTCCGTCAAAACAATCTATCTTCACGTCAGATTTCATTACAATTTGTGCATCCGAAACAGATATAGATTATATTTTATTTTAAAAAATAATCCAAATTATTTTTTTATATCTTTATGTACAAACCTGCAGACGAAGTCGTAGCTAATTGCTAGTTATAGATGAGTATTTATACTTTAATTAGAAGAATTTACGTTAAAATATATTTAAGAATTTCTATCAGTTGTTAGCAAACATAGTAAAAGTAGTGCTTGTTTGGGACTAGAATAGAATAGAATAGAAAATCATTTATTCAAATAAACTTAATTTAAGCACTTTTGAATCGTCAACATTTTTTTTAGATGTGCGCTATGTGAATTATTCAGGGTTATGTTTGTCTAGGAAAATTATACTCCTAGAAAATACAATATACAGTATGTTTCTGAAATAAATAATGTTGTATTTATTATGTACTAAATACAGTGATATTATCACTTTAAGATAAACTTACATTTGATATCAATCTCGATTTTCACAGAATCCGAAGTACCCAATGAATTTCTTGCTTGGCATCCATAGATTCCTGAAAAAAAGCTGGGTTAAATAAAAATATTCACAAAATTATACAACAATAATAATATTGATGCAACGAAAAGTGAAGAACATAAGATAATTTTTTTATATATTTTCTAGCAATACTAGCGTACCGCCTCGGCTTTGAACGAGTACAATTGTTGTAAAGATCTCTAATTTCTGTAACAACCCATTTTACGCTCAGATAATGTAACATTATACAAGAATCAAATTTTTAAAATGGTAAAAAAGTTAAGTATTTCCAACCTAAAAATAGTTTGTTAATATTACTTCAGATGTATGAATACATTTCTCAAATGCCTGCAATTTACCTGTATGATTCCTTGACACAGGAGCCAAGATGAGTTTCGGTCCATTAGTGGCTATGACCTGTCCGTTCCTGGTCCACCACACGTACGGCTTAGGGTTTCCATCAGCTCTGCACTCCAGGGTGAGAGCACTCGAGCCTTCTTCCAAGCTCGCCAACACGCTCGGATCGGCGCCATTTATAGAGACCACTGGAGCGACTGGAAGTTAAAAACATAGTTTTAGTATTTTATTAGATTTAGATGATGTATCGGCAAACAATTTTTCTAAAACTCAAATTTTCGATTCTCATTGGCCAGTATTTTTAGAAAACCTTTATTCTTTGATACCTAAGATTCAATTTACTATACCTAACAGCTTTTTTCTGCTAATCGTGCCATGCGTGTTATCGGCCGTCATATTACTTACTCTCCTTTTATGCATATCTTGTAGTCGGTCATTCTCTTCCTTAACATCCATCCAACTTTATTCTATTACATGTGAGTGTTAGCTATCTAGTCTAGTCGCTTTCATTTCCTTTATTAACAGATATTGTAGTTACCTAGCTAACGTTTACATTGATTTGATGACGTGGCGTATTATAATTTATCAAATGTAAAGGTAAATAAAGCTTTAGATTTGATAAATTATAATATTATTACAGATATTTAATATACACTGTTTAATATAGTTTTCCCAGAGGAACGGCCCTAATCCCAATCCATCTCAGTACATCGACTTCATTTTAGGGTCGTTGCTCTATGTATTGGGCACATAGTTATTTATCTCACAGAGATTCTTCGCGAATAGGTAAATAACAAGATAAATTATGTTTAGTGTCTGTGAAATTTGCCAGATTACCGATGGCTATCTAATTACTTTGACCCCGGTCTTTATTTACAAAACCGAGTTATGCTTCGTAGCTTAGTCAATATCGGACTTATAGAGAGGTACAAATGTATACTAGTTTATTACTAATGTATTAATAGGATAGTTTGGACGGGAAAAATAATTGGTAATGTGGACAGATGATCTTGCTGCTTGCAACGTACCATGTCAGGTTGACCTTCACGCGATTCCCCCTGAAAACCATCGTGATAACTTCTTGGTGAATTTATCACGATGGCCTAACTAACCTGACCTCATGCTCATCTTTTCATCTTCCACTGGTGCCCCGCTAGCGTAAACCGTTAGCGCAGGAGGATGCCATTCCATTATCATCCATAAAAAAAATACAATAGTTTGTTTACCTATTCACGACTACTATTATTGAATGTATCTTAACGAAACTTGATATGAAGATAGATTTCATAACGAAGATGAACACCTTATCATTTATGTCAAAAAAATACCTGAAAAGGAAAGAACTATGGGATATTTGGGCAGACAATTACGCAATTAACAGGTAGTCCAAAATAAGTAGAAGAAATAAGCTAAATAAATAATAATTTAGACCTAAATGGACGAAAGATCTGCTACCCGGATGCTAGTGGCAGATGATTAATCACAATATATAAGAATTAATCACGATAGTTTTCAGGAACAAGACTTAGTAAATATAAAAAAATATACAACAACAGATCTAGGAAAAATTTTTACGAGGTAAAGTTTGAACATTATTAAGGTTTCAATGCAGATTACTGATATATAACTTTCTATTGAGATTTTATATTACATTTATATTTGTATATTGAGCGAGCGGTATTTCACCAATAACTATATATATAATGTAATAAATGAATTTATTATGGATACCTTTGACATTCAGTTAGACTATAGACAAATAACATTAAAGACAAAATAACAATATTAATCTCTATTGGATAAAGTGTGTGTCAAATACATGGTAAAGTGTGTAATGTTTTTTTTATGGATATAATGTATTTACTATACATAATTAAAAAAATAATAATTGCACTATAAACAATCAGTGTGCGAAATTTCATACTTCGCACACTAATAGTTTATATAGGTCCGCAAAATTTTCGTAAAAAGGGATATAAAAATTTTACTTCACGTATTAATAAATAAATGTTACTTACATGTCACATCTAGCATAGTGTAAGAGTCTCGATAGTATGGCGCAGGGTACGAGGGGTGATGAGCTCGACACGCCAACTGGCGACCGTGGGCAGACCTAGTGGCACCCAGCTCGAGGACCGACCGCGCCGCCCAAACCCTCGGCCGCTCCACCTCTGATGCATTTGTCTGACTCCACGCTGTTAATCTTTCTTTTTCTGTAATTGTATTTTTTAAAATTTAAATTACATCTATTGAGATTACACTCTAAAGTAATATAAATATAGAAAAAAATATTTTAGAGTACAATGGAATTGGTATGTAATATTTTGTATACAAAAGTCTCATTGTATAGTATAAAACAACTTCGCTATCTGTCCGTCCCTATGTATGCTTAAATCTTTAAAACTACGCAACGGATTTTGAAGCTGTTTTTTTTAATAAATAGAGTGATTCTAGAGGAAGGTTTATATATATAATACATGTACACCCGTGCGAAGCCGGGGGAGTAGCTAGTCTAAAATAAAAGAAACATTGAAATCTTAAATTAAAAATATATACAAATAATTAGATGTGATAAACAATGTTTCTTCTATTACGTCTTACAATTGTTCACCGATTAAGGGTTGAGTTTCATTACACAATACATATTTTATTTTATATAGATATATAACACTTTATAAATACATATAACGCGACACAGAAAGATAAAATAAAATCAGAGATCTAAAGAGATCTACCTATCCTAAATTTATCAACACCGTTAAAGTAAAAGAGTAACTTAATACAAATTTCGAAATCCATTTAGTAAATATTTGTCGTTTTACCTACTCCACTTTAATATTTTATGAAATTACTACATTGATTTTTTACCCAATAGCTTCATCAAATTCATAAATTTCAATGCAAGTATTCAATAATTACATTTCGCTGACCGTAATGAACCAGTTGTCGAGCTGGCAGTATATTTAATAATTTTCAGAGTTTTTGTATACAAAACATTTTACACTATGCACTACATTAATTGACAAAACATCACAACTTGTGTCTGCTATGTTGACCAATAAGCATTTCCCTAACAACTAAAAACAGACAATAAAATATCTTACCTAAATACCACTCGATGTACGCAGGCGGGTTTCCATATCTAGCTTCACACACGACAGTAGCCCTGGAGCCGGCTGGTACTGTGATGTTTTGGCCCGGCATCACATGCGACCCATTGAAGAGTATTCTTGGTGATTGTGGAGGTACTCGGACTGCTAATGCCGCCGGAGGACTGGATAGAGCGTCCTGAAGGTACATTTGACAGACATAAGTTCTTGTTTTCTTATAATATTCTAAGTCAGAGTCGAAATCGATATTATAGCCGAAGACTAAAGGCAGTAATTTATTCATCTGTACATGCATATGAATATAAATACGGTACATACACCGAAATAACATTTTTTACAATTTTTGTCTGTCTGTCTGTTTGTTCCGGCTATTCTCTGAAATGGCTGGACCGATTTTGATGGGACTTTTTTTGGCAGGTAGCTGATGTAATAAGGAGTAATTTAGGCTACTTTTATTTTAGAAAAATAAAGTAAATTCCACGCGGATGAAGTCGCGGGAACAGCTAGTATAAAAATATGTTTTGTCAGTTATGCATAGTAATATATGATCACTATTGCTAGAAGTTCAGTTTAAATGGCTACTTCAGTCGAGAAGGAAGAAAGAAACACAATGAGGTTTTTTTTTAGGTTTTTCATTAAGTTCACATTGTATTCCTATTTTTTGAATTGCGAATGATTTGTAGGTAGTGTTGCAATCAGATATTTTTCCCTTCTTTCCCATCAAATTCTTTCTTATACGAGTAAGTATAATTAGTATATGAGTTCTTACAAATCTTTGTGTAAATGTAAACAAATTGTAAGCTACAAACCTGAACATCGTAGTTGCTAGCTGTGACCTGACACTGCCATTGTCCATCATCCAATTGCAGTGTCGCTGCGCGGACCCACAACGAGCAGTCACCTCCAACAGGACTATTTTCATTGGCCCACTCATATTTCCCGCGGTATATACCCACTGGCTGTAACAATAAACAAACAAAATGTTAAAAAACCAATTCATTTTTTTTCCAAGCAACACGCAAGTTTCTTGCTCATTCATTTTGTAATGAGACAGCTTTCCGAATGAGCGGTGCAACAAATAAGCGAGGACTATCCAAAAATACTCATATGTAAGTTCTTCTTCTCTGAGTATTTTCTATGTTTATTATCACTTTCTTTCATTCTTTCTTCATTTCAAATTCTTAAAAGATAAGTATTATTATAGTTATTCTCAAAAATTATCCGATAAAAAGCTAATTATGACCATTTTGAAGTAATATAACTTTATACTACAAATCGTACTTGACTTTTGGCTTTCGTCCAAAAATGCTCCAATCTATTAGCAAATACCTACTGCTATATTAAGATTAATACACGCTTGAGAGGAACGTTGATGGATCATTAGGGTTTATGCTAACGGTAATGACCTGTCTTTAGAGGGTGATAATTTATCCTAAACTAGAGGAAAATTGTCATTAAGTAAGGAAAAGAAAATCTCTTATATGTCTAATTAATGGCTTGCAAATAAATAAGCATTACGTTAAAAGATTGATTGTATTGAATCTGATATTAGATACTCATATATCACCGTGACCTTGCCATTACGTTTATTATTAATGATCGCATCACTAATGTAATTTTTTATTCTGTGGTGGGTACTCGTAAAGCTATTTTGTTTTTTATTTGAAACCAAATAGGACAAGGAAGTTGTAGCTTGGTAATTAAAATACATCGATATTGATATAGGTATGCCGGCGACGTAGGTATTTATTATATGTTCGCATAGACAAATTTTATATGAATAACTAGTGGGCCACCCCGGTTTCACTCGGGTGCGTACTTACTTTATTGACGTATATATAGATTACATAGCCTCTGAGTTTATTACACGGGAATAATGTACATTTTGAAAGTATTTTTTTAATAGGCGCGGTGATTCATGACTTTTCCCATGACAAATTTCCATCCAAGCCAAGTAAGTAAAATATTGGAATATTCTACGTTTCAAATGGTATCGGACTTTACTTTTCTTATAAGAAAATGCACTAATCTGTTTTATGCAATATTAGTTTTAGGTAAAAACCAGTCACTATATGTATTTATTTGCAAAGTACATCGAACAACAATAAATTAAAATAAAATTTATAGGACAGCATTTTAGGATATACTGTATTGTAGCGTATATATATGAACGTATTGACTAAATATTTAATTCAAATATTGTGTATGTGATTGGATAGAAACGAAAATTGATCTAACTATATTCTCAGCTGTACAAGATAAGGTAAAACTTTATAAACATACACATAGTGTTATAAATTGGAAACCCAGGTAACTTTGATGTAATATATTTACTTTAAACTAATACTCTACGATGAGCATATAAATTTTGTGTAAGTTGTTAATAAGTTAAACTAGATTTATCGGCCTTTCAAAGAAATCACTCTGTTGATATATAAAAATCACATTAAAATGCAACCAGTGATTTTCGAGATTATCGTGAGCCATAGACAAATGTAGCGGGAAATTTTGTTTTATCGCGAAAGTTCGTAAGTATGGAGGTTTTTTACTCTTACATGCAAAAACTACTAAACGGTTTTTGATGAAACTTTACAGTAATATAGCTTATGCTTCAGAATAACACATATATTTTTTATTGAATTTTATATATTGAAATTTAACGTGGGTAAAACCGCGGGTAAAGCTAGTATATATATATATTATATTAGCTAATATATATATAAACACCTCTTTGGGCACTTTGTTGATCACGCCACAACCTAAACATTTGCCGATTCCACCTTTTGCACTGAATAACTTGACTCCTATCGCGTATATCTCAGGCGGGGTGGCAACGTCGCATTCTATTTTGCGATGTGGCCATATATATTCGTCGATAGTACGATATACTCGACACATTTTTTACTAATAATTCGTGCATGACTGGCTCCGAACGGCTAAATTTTTGGTATACACAAAGACTTTTTGGCTCTGAATATATTTCAAAAATCAATTAATTATGTTGATCACTTTATATACTCGTCCTTACTGCGATACTTATTTTCATCCGAATATATATAGATACCGTAACGGTCTATCAATTATGAATTTATTAATTTACTAATCTAGATATTTTATATTCGCAATGCTCCATACATAGTAACTCCACCGTTGCAGGGGGGAGGACCGTACACCGCACCCCGCGCACACAAACAAATTAGATATTTTTTGAATACACAAAGACTTTTTGGCTCTGTATATATATTTCAAAAATCAATTAATTGTGTTGATCACTTTATATACTGGTCCTTACTGCGATACTTATTTTAATCCGAATATATAGATACCGTAACGGTCTATCAATTATGAATTTATTAATTTATTAATCTAGATATTTTATATTCGCAATGCTCCATACATGCAAGCTCCAGCAACGGTGGAGGCAGGGGGGAGCACCGTACACCGCACCCCGCGCACACAAACAAATTAGAATAAATTAAATTCATAAGATTATTTATATATTTCGACTGCCTCGGTGGTCACACCGCTTTACATCCGATGGTCGCGGGTTCGATTTCCCGCACGGTGCAAACATATGTACTCATCGGTCATCGATTGATTTCATCGGTCTGGGTGTTTTATATGTATATTATATATGTATTTACAAGATAAAAATATCTATTTATATCAGTTCAGTATCAGTCTGTGTTAATTGTCCAGCGCTATTTATTATATTTTTATAAACGGTTATCTTTTTCCATCGCACCGCTCGCTATCGACAGTGAATTCATAGAAATGTCACTCTAAAAACAAAAATAGTTTTGTATTTCAAATACTAAATGCAAAATAGGTATTTTCAAAATACTTTTTCAAAATAAAGTACCTTTTGAATTTTTGTCCAAACCTCAGATATTTTATTTATTTTACATAGGTATATCAATCATTACATAGTGTAGTATAAAACAAAGTCGATGTCGCATCTAACAGTACATAAATAAAGAAAGAAGACTTTTTGGCTCTGATACCGTAACGGTCTATCAATTATGAATTTATTATACCTAATCTAGATATTTTATATTCGCAATGCTACATACATTGTAATATCCGCCTCCATTCATTGTAACGGTGGAGGGACTAAATAGTTGAATAAAACTGAATAAGCAGTTGCTCCACTCTATAGGTATGCGTCGTCGTCGTATGCTGTTCATTTTTTCACTCGTTTTGGCGCCAAGAGAGGGTCACATAGTCGTGGTCAAGTTAAGAACTTATAATTTAATTTTGATGACAATAGATACAAGTAAAAAGTAGGTACAATATTAATGTACGTAAGTACTGTACTTAAAAATATTTATTCTTTATTGTACATTTGAAAAACTTAACACTTAAGGACTTGTACATATACACGTACATACTGCCATTTTCTCTTAAAGACATCCAGAGAAGCACTATTTATCAAATACGCGGGGTGCACCGACCTTTGACCTTATAACAGCTGATTCGCGCGTAACGAATTACATTGCTACTTACATTACTATTTTATAGTGGATATTTCACTATAAAATATTATTATTTCTTTAGATTATGACATTGTAGCATAGTTTACATGATTTTAAGGGAAACATACGATAAAAAAAATTCCCGTAAAATGTAAAAGATAAAAAATGGTTATTGTTGGTTATCCTTGAGAGATAGACATATACCATCACGGACTTTTTTGTTGACCTTATTTTGATACATCTCAAAGCACTAGACAATACGCATTTTCATTAAACAGTATTGTATTTTTTTTATTTATTTAACTTTAATGCACAAAAAAATTTGTACATGTGGCGGACTTAATATCTTGCCGCGTTATTTACCAGGCAACCATGAGTGGTGCAGCGAAAGATTATTGGCGGTGCACTAATATAAATAAGAAATGTCAAAAAAAGATATATAAATACAAAGCAAAATATACTTTTCTATAAAAAAATAACAATATACATACATAAATATATAACCCATAAATGTATAAATAAATACATAATGACCCGATAATCAAATTATAAGTACAGTCTCAAATTGAAAGTAAGAAAAACAGAAAATATAGAGAGAACTATAGGGATATAACAAAAAGATGTTAAAAAAGGAGAAGGACAGTAAAAAAGTTACAAATTTAAATAATATTCCCGCAATTTCTGTTTAAATGAATTTATTACATTATTATATATATTAGGCATACGACTAGCCTTATGACTGTTACTTTTTTTTTAATCTATACATCTATACATGTAAATAAAATTGGAGTGTCTGTTTGTAATATTGAAATAACCGTTTTTACTACTTGCATATGAATATAAATCCGGTACATACACCAAAATAACATATTTTACAAGTTTTGTCTGTCTGTCTGTCTGTTTGTTCCGGCTAATCTCTGAAATAGCTGGACCGATTTTGACGGGACTTTTTTTGGCAAGTAGCTGATGTAATAAGGAGTAACTTACGCTACTGTTATTTTAGAAAAATAAAATAAAATTTCACGCGGACGAAGTCGCTGGGGCCAGCTAGTCTATAGATATACCGAGATTTAATATTTAAGTTGCTATTATGTTGTTGACAAAATTTTACTGTAATGTTACTATTACGTTATCCTACACAATTTGTATTATTTTGGATGAATAAATAAATAAATAAATAATAATCTATACATCTATACATATAAATAAAATTGGAGTGTCTGTTTGTAATATTGAAATAACCGTTTTTTACTACATGCATATGAATATATATAAGGTACATATACCAAAATAACAATTTTTATAATTTTAGTCTGTCTGTCTGTCGGTCTGTTTGTTTCGGCTAATCTCTGAAATGGCTGGACCGATTTTGACGGTACTTCTTTTTGGCAGGTAGCTGATTTATAAGGAGTAACTTAGGTTACTTTTATTTTAGAAAAATAAAGTTTAATTCCACGCGGACGAAGTCGCGGGAACAGCTTGTT